TTTCATATTTGCTTATGTATTATATTAAGTCTATATAAAAATCTATAGAAGCATAATAAATATATTTATATAAAATTTTTTATTTGTATAACTTATACTAATTGTGATATAAAATATATTAAATTTTAATTTATAAATAATATATATTAATTTTAAAGCAACATAAATAGAAAAATAATACAGAACATATATAAAAGTTAAATATTTACTAAGCTAATTAATAATTTTGTCTTAAGTTGTTCAGAAGAACAAATTGTATATAATTTAAAAATTTTGTATAATTTTGATAACTTTTTATTAAGTTATTTTTATGTTTTATATTTATATAAAAAAAATTCAATTTTTTTTATATAAATATAAAATATAAATATAATTTAATAAAAAGTTATTAAAATTATACAAAATTTTCAGATTATATACAATTTGTTCTTCTGAACAACTTAAGACAAAATTATTGATTAGCTTAGTAAATATTTAACCTTTATATATAGCTACTATTATTAGTTATATTTTATAAAAATGAATTTTGTTTAATAATCAATTTTAATTAACTAAATATTATTAGATTATAAATTAACAGAAGTTAAAAACTTTCTTAATTATTTGTGTTTTGAAATAGCTAATAACTAATTATTTGTAATTTGAGTTATTTAGATTATTTCAAATTATTTACCATTACTAGTTTCAAGTCTCTAGTCATATTCAATTCTATTGTCTAATGCTAATCTTATAATAAATTCAACTCTACAAAAAAGAATACTTCTGACTAAAAAAAAAAATATATAAAGCAAGAGAAAAAAAAAACTAGTACTTATAATTAGACAAGTTCTAAGTTTCTAATTGTGTTTAATTCTATTGCCTGGTGTTAATCTCATAATGAAACTTAGTCTACAAAAAAAAGTAAATACTAGTTTTAACTGAAAAAAAGAAAAAAAAAGAATAAAGTGTATTAAAAAAAAATGATAATATTGAGTTAGTTTCAGCTATATTTGATCTCTGATATCTGTAAAATCTTAAAGATTTTATTTATAACTTTAAGCAAAATCTTGAGTATAGGTTTGAAAAAATATTTCAGTACAGAATAGTCTAATTCTAAAACTTCTACTAGCTAGTTACTGTGTTTTGGAGATTCTTCATATTTTCATTATAGATAGAATTCTAAAAGATTACTGATATTTGAGCCTAAAATCCTTTTCTGTTTACATATAAGTTTTATTTCAAATTTTTGTTATAGATAAAAAAAAACCTGTAGAATAATATTGTCTAGAATCATATTTTTGTATCTCTTGAGGTCATGTGGTTTACTGTAATTAGATGTAAATAAAATTTTCCTGAAATTTTCATAGTAAATTTCTGAAATGTGATCTATGATCAGACACTTATATTGTCAGAGGCTAACAATACTACCTCTAACCAAAAGAAATAGTGTAACAGCATCACTAAGAAATCCAAGATGCAGTATAATGCAACACTACCTAAAAGAAAGGTGAGATTTGATTTGGCATGGGTCAAGGCAGTAGCGAAATGTTAAGCAAAGGCAAGAGTTTTATTAAATTTATTGATCAGATTTTTGATATTGTCTAATCTACTTTACAGATTGTCAAAGTTACATCTCTTTTATAACAATTTTGGAGGTACAGAAAAGAAACAAATAGAAAGAAAAAGATCTAAAAATGAAGATTTTATTTTGTAAATTTCAATAAACAGCCTTAAAAACTTATCAAAGTGCTGTGACACAGCTACGAACTAGTCCAGATATGGTTAACTTATCTCTTTGATATCTCTAAGCCGTATTTTTGACAATCGGCTTAATTATCTTATGATGCCTTTTTGGGTTTAACCACTAATTTGTTGATTATTGGTCCTGTGAGATCTTCACATGCAGTTCAGGTTCTATTTGGCATGTGGGTCTTTGAATTGGTTCTTGGGCTTTGTGAATTATTTTGAGGCTCAGTTCCTTCTTTTTTTGATATACCGATTTTACCTCTGACAATTTCTTCCCCTTTAACTTTTCACGTCCTGTGAAAAATCAGGTTCATGGAGCTCTGGAGTTTTCAATTTGTAAGGCTTTGGTCATTTGCTGGGGGCTTAGTTTATCCTCACATTCCATATTTTAGACAAAATCAACAAATACAACAACAATAACAAAAAAAAAATTCACATACAAACTAACTAAAAAAACTAAACAAAAAAAAATAAAACTATATAAAAAAAAAATCTAATAAAATTTAAAAATCAAAAACACGTCTACAACACAAGTGAAGAGAACTCTAATGTCTCTTGTTATACGCCCACAACTACGCGTATGACTATCATATACAACCATAAAAATTAAACTAAAAAAGAAAACTAATCAGAACCTAAACAAAAGAAAAAAAACTTATAATTCGACTTTCTGAGAAAAACAATTATTAAAGAAAAGGTAAGAAGGATCAGAATAGAGATAGAAATCAGAACAGAAATAATCAAATTTTAGGTAAAAAAAAATTTTATTTTATTTTATTTTATTTTTTTTTTTAATTGTCTAATAAGTGATGAAGCAAGAGTCGTATCAGTGTGATCCCCTATGAGATCTTACAGATAGTCATAGGCTCTAAACACACACACTAACTAGTCAATGATATTTCACGAGTATGGGTTCAGAATATTATGCCTGCTGCACTCTATAGTTGCTTTCTGAGCGTGCTGTGAACTGCAGAGACCTAGTACTTCAGTTGCTCCATATCTTCTACACATACAACTGACTATACTCAATGTGTTTGTAGTGAGTAACCCAAGTGGGCCTCTAAATTCCACGTTTATGATTTTTTTTTTTTTTTTTTTTTTAAAAAAAAATCAATGTTCACTGTTTTCTCTTTCATAATACTTCTTTAATAAACTAATATTAAAAGGGGCAGTGACTACTTTTCTCTCCATCGTCCAGTGTTTATAGGTGTCATTCAGAAGCTTATTATGGATATAAAATGGTCCTTTATACTTCAGAATGAATTTTTCACTTTTTGAATATTTTTTTGCAGCATTTTCCAAGAGAACTTTATCTCTGATATCAAATCCAGAACTAATTCAGTAGTGTTGATCATGGTAAGCTTTATGTTTTTCTGAATTTCGATATAAAGTTTCGATTGTCTGATTTCTTATTTCAGGAACTTGGTTTATTAAATTAAATGTCCTTTATAAGATCGTTCCTTCTAACAATTCTTCTTCCTAGCTTGGATGGATGGGTTGTTTTGCCTCATGTCCATATACAAGATAAAAAGGAGACATCTGGGTGGTTGAATTTTGGGTAGTTCGATATACAAACAATATTAGAAGGATTAACAAGTTCCAATCACCTGCTTTTTCTATCAACTTACCTAGGGCATCACATAAGGTTCAGTTGAACATTTCTACAAGGCCATTCGTCTGGAGGTAGTAGGGGGTAGAGAAATGCTATTTTACCTTTATCTTCTCTAATAGCAATCTAATCATTTCATTATGAAAATGTGAACCATGATCTGACACAATTCAATCAGGACATCCATGGTGACATATTATGTCATTATACAAAAATTCGGCTATGGTTTGGGTATTAGCTTTTTGAACAGTACAGGCTTCAGGCCAACAGGTTATGAAATCAGTGGCAACAATAATGTAGTAGTTTAGGCAAGGGGTTTGGAGTAAGGGTTCAACAAAAGCTACTTCAATTTTGTAGAATGGCGCAGAGACAGGAATAGGGTGCAAAAGGCTTTGTTCTCTTAATTTAGTTCTTCATTAGCAAGGGTCACAGGTTCGTATATACTTTCTTATATCAATGTACATCTGAGGCCAAAAGTACGTATCACAAACTTTTTTGAACATGATATTCTTGTTAAAATGTCCTCCTAGGGGATTGGTTTATATTAAGTATAAGATAGGCCAGACTTCAGATTTCTGTAATACCTGTAACAACCTTCCTTTGATCCTTAAATCCTTTTTATATAGTAGAACTTCTTTCAATTCAAAGAATCAGCTTTTACTTTTTATATAGTGTCATTGAGCTTCATTCAGAGTAGGGAACAGGTATCCATTTTCGAGATATCTTTTTAATTGTTTATAGTGTTCAGAATCCTTTTTTTTTTTTTTTTTTTTTTTATATATATATATATATATATTCTCTTTTTCTTTTCCTTTACTTAGGTAAAAAAAAACTCTTATAGGCACTAGAACAACAGTAACCTGAGCTGAATTTTTCTCAAACTGAATTTTTAAGGCAAGTATTATTATTATTATTATTATAAAAAAAATTTTTTTTATTTTTATTTTTTTTTTTTTTGAGTACTAACCTATAAGGAAGTTCTATTATTTAAACTAGGATGAACCAAAGACAAAATAACGATTTGCTAATATTTGGAAGACCCAACAACAACCAAGAAGACATGAACCAAGACCAACGGACCAATGGAAGCTGAACCTCTGCAGACCAATATCAACCAATGCCAGAAAGATACTTTATCTAAGATGAGAGAAACTAAAACCAACTTCAAGCCCAAGCTCAAGATCCAGTACAAACAATTTTGAGAGAGATTGTCACTACGTTCAGGGACGCTATTGCTGGAGCTGTTGCCGCTACTCAACTACCGAATAGAGAGACCAACTTGGTCTGCATTGAAGTATTTCATGGTGAAGAGAACGAAAACCCTCTATAATGGATAGAAGCATTCAACAGGGCTGCTGATGCGAATAATTGAACAGCTGAAATGAAGGTAAAAATTGCATCTAGATATTTGCGAGGTGTAGCTGCTGATTGGTATGATGGTAAAAAAAACCACCTGGACTACTGGGATAACAGACATGCTCAGATGATAGTTTTGTCCCCTAATTTAGTCATTACTTTGCGACCTCAGAGAAATGATATAAATAGCAAGTCAACTTGAATACTCTGGCTCAACAAACAAATGAAAGAGTGAAGTCGTACGCATATAAGTTTTGGAAACTTTTGTCCATGTGAACCCCTGCTATGAGTTGCTCTAATCATACGTTGTATGAATGTTTCTGAGAGGACTGAAACCAAGGACAGCCTCTTGGCTGAGTATTGGTGAATCTGACAACCTTGAGGATGCAATCACCAGCACTTAGAAAATTGAAGCAGGAGAGTATTATGATGAAAAATATGGAAGAAGAAATAGGACTCCCGATAACAACATTGACCAACAGAACCAACAAATGCAAGTGTTGTATGCTAGTTTTGAAAAATTGACCACTACTCTGGCTACTTATATAGAATTCATAAAACCTCAGACCACGTATAGAAACAATAATGGCAATTACAATGGAGATAGAAACGGAAATAATAATAATAGTACCCCATATTGCTACTATAGATATGGGGAACTTGGACATATCTCGTGCAACTGTATGTCTGAAAGGGTGTTGAAAAGAAATCTGAACCAGAACCAAACCTAGAATCAATCTCAGGACTGAACTCGAGACCAAGACAACCTAGTAACTCAAATTTTACAAAGGCCAAGGGACGTGAACCACATCAGTATCTTGGAGGAAGAAGGAAGATCCACTCAAAGCAATGAAGTAGTAGTAATGCTTGCAGACTGCCCCCCAACCCTACCCG